GGTTATTTATAACTCCTGATACTGGTTGCTTAAGTAAAACTGGGTTTTAGGAATTTGTAATGTAAAAAAAAAAAGTTAATGAGGGAAGAAGATATCAAGCAGAACTCACAGTAAGTTGCTTTAGCCACTTGAAAGAGCATTTGCAACACGGTGTTGTAAATTCACACCATGTAAGTACTGAAACTTCCTTTCCTGCATGTCTCTGCTACACCCCTCACCTCAAAAACTGAGGGGTGGCCCTTCTTGGAGAAATGCTACTGCACTGACAGTTTGTCCGGTATGGAATGAATGCCCAGATTATCATTAGTTCCATAAAATAAACAGGACACTGTTTATTTTATGGAACTATAAAGTAATCAGGCCACTGTCAATAAAAACACCACTGTAGTTCTGGAGACCTTGCCACTCCTTTGCTCTGAGGTTGTTTTGATGAGCACTGATGAGGTGCCAGTGGGGGCTCCTTGCTTTTGTACAGAATGCTGTAGGGAAGTTTTTAACCAAGGAGGGGGCTGCAAGAAAAAGCCTTTTTGCATTGTTTCAGAGCTGATGCTGATGTCAGCCAAGTGGCTGACTTGGAAGTGCTGATTTGGAAGGAAACCACAAGAAAAGGAGATGCTTTCCTGCCTTGTTTACATGAACTTTACTGAGCCAGCAAATGAGGAGGGAATTCTTGTGGCTGGGAGATGTTTAGAGCTTCTCAGGTTATTTATATCTGCAGATTTTATTTCTATGACTGATTTAAGGCAACAAAAACGCCTTAACCATTTGATGAGTGGAAGAGATCATAAGGAAGTCCAGATTACAGCTCAGAAATAGGGCTGTCTGAAGGAACTCTTGAAGATAATCTGTAAAGAGCATCTATAATACCTATAAACCCATGCTGGGTGGAAGGATTGGAGTGCAGAGTTCTCTTAATGTGACAAGACATCTGTGCTACAAACCATCCTCTTATCTTAGGTAAAACAGGTTATCTCCAGGATTGTCTGTCTCAGCCTGCTGAGGAGGCAGGTGCCTTTAACTTGCCAGGATAGAGGAGCTACAGGTTCCCTCTGCCTTCTCTCTCTTCCTCTTCCACCTCTGTTTGGAAGATTAAAAGGAGTCTCCATGTGGAGAATGGTCTGGTTTGGGATGGTTACTCCCTGGAGCCCCATTTATTCCCAAGATTTTTGGGGTGACCTCACTGTGCCCTTCAAGTACCTGAAGGGATCCCACAGGAAAGATGGAGAGAGACTCTTGACAAGGGCCTGGAGTGACAGGACAAGGGGCAATGGATTTAAACACACAGAGGGGAGGCTTAGATTGGATATTGGGAAAAAATTGTTCCCTGTGAAGGTAGGGAGGCCCTGGCACTGAGAAGCTGTAGCCGTCCCTGGATCCCTGGCAGTGTCCAAGGCCAGGTTGGATGGGGCTTGGAACAAGCTGGGATAGTGGCAGGTGTCCCTGCCCGTGGGAGGGGGTTGGAATGAGATGATCTTTGAGGTTCTTCCCAGCCCAGGCCTTTCTGGGGCTGACTCTGTGATCACAGTTCTGTTATTCTGGTTTACTTGGATTTGTGCCTTTGACAGTATCCCATATTTGACATTAAACCATGCCAGTAATTATTTTCGCCAGTGAGTGGGTGACAGTAACTGTTAGCATGTTAATGCTTAGCATGCAGTTAGAGTAGTTAATTAATTATCTTTGATTTCTGTTACCTTTAGACCTGCCCTTCCCATAATAACAGCTGAGCTAATTCTGTCCAAATTTTAAGGAAGGCTGGATTGCCAGCATTGTTCTGGAGTTATAAAACCTAATTTATTTACATTTACTGTAATTTCTATGGATTTTTCCAAGCCTCAAATGTAGTAAGGCAAAATGTTTGTGTTTAAACAGCATGGAAATCACCCCTCTGCATGCACACAAATAGGGTTCATCACTTCAGCCACCTCTGAAGTGCATTCCTCTTTAAATTGCAAGCGGATAACAGCTGCTGAGGATACAAAACAACATTGTCACAGACTGGAAGTACACAATAAGTCATCTACTATCCAAACATGAATTGCTTTCCTGGGAATGCAGAGTGTAGAGGATGGCACTCTTGAGTGGAATTATGAAAACCTGAAAACAATCCAAGGGAAGTGCATTTAAGACATTGAGATCTCTGCCTAGTGCTCCTGGTCATACATTGTACTTCAGGGAGAAAATAAAAAGGTTGATTTTAATAATTTAAAATCCTGTTTCTGTGTGTGTCTCCTTTTAGGAAGCTACAATATTAGCAATGTCTTGTCTTCAGCTCCTGATATAACTCAGTTTAAACAAGGAGTGAAATCCGTGGCTGGAAAACTTTCTGTCCTTGCTAATGGAGTCATGACATCTATACAGGTGAGTAAAAATATCACAGTCTGTTAACCATCAGTTGAAGCCTTTCTGTAGGGATTTAGTACCATGGATCCTGCCACTGAATTACCTTTAGGGAGAGCAGAATGCATTTGGTTTTGAGCTCTGTAGAGCTCTCAAAGTAGACAATAAATCTTTATCATTTAGAAAATAGATCTCTATCTGCTAGCTCACCTTCTTCAGGATATCTTTTTCCTTACAATTAAAAAATCCCATCATGAAAGTTATTTGTTGTCACTCTATTTTAAACTCCTCACAGTTCCTAACTCAGAATGGAATAGTTTGGGTGGAAGGGATCTGCAGTGGTCATACAGCCCATCTTGTGTTGGCTCTTTAGCTGACCTCTGATCCATGTTTTTGGATGAAATAAGCCATCCTGGCCTCAGTGTCCAGCATGTTTTGTGTGCTCCAGTCACTTGGTAATTCCTGTATGGGGTCATTGGGAGCTCTCAGATGTTTGAAAATCAGGCTGATTATCCTGGAATTCAACCCTAAACTCCAGTTCTTGGAAGCACTGGTCAATTTTCTGAAAGTCTTGAAGAATTCAGCTGGTATTGCACAAATGGAAGTAAAACTGATTTCTCTGCATGGAAAACCCACTCATAGCTGGTTTGTGTTTGTTTTTGCTTTTCTAGGACCGATACGGTTCCTAACTGAAGCTAAAGAGATTCCTCTTCAGGCACACAGTAATCACTCTGCTGATTCAAATGAAGGTTGCCTTAAGACTGATGATGTTTTTACCTGTTTGTTAGTGCAGATTTCTGACTCAGCCTCTTAGTGCTGTTTCACCTTAACAGAGCAGAAATCTTGCAGCAACTTGTTACATTGCATATACATTTTCTTTTTTCTTCCTTTCCAGTCTTTATTTCTTAACGGCCTTATTGTTAGATAAGCTGGGAGCTTTATTTCATTACTGGCTCTGTCTGTGAGGTAGGAAGGAGAAAGGAGGTGGTGGTGTTCAGTAGACTGTAGCAAAATATTCATTTAATTTAAACCTGTGTTTCCAGGAAGCAAAAGCTCTTGAAGTCATAAATTGATGTGCATTAAAATGGTGGGGAATTAGTGGTTTAATACAGTATTCCAGCTAGAAGGTTCTGTGTTTAGATGTGAAATGTGGAGAAGTCAAAATGTGTAATGCTGAATAGTGGATTTCACCTTGTTGTGGGAACAGTCTATTTATTCCTAGTTTTGAAAGTTACAAAAAAATCGCAATATAGAACCCTTAAGTGCTTTTAAAAATTCTGTATTGTGTAAAAATTGAAAAAAAAAAAACTTGAAATATACTAAGGGCCTAATAGAGTAGTTAATTAAATACTTGTTAAAAATGTTTAGCACAATCTTAGATTTTTGATAAATTATCAATTATTGAATAAGGAAATAGGGGGCTGTGTTTTAGACAGTCTAGAATTTATTGCTGATGACATCCTGCATAAAAATGATTATGACCTTAAAGAAGAAACTTTTCAACCAAGAATGAATTCATGTTAATTCTGTTCTGTAATTTTCTTAATTCAAATTTGTAAACTGCTGATATCTAATAAAAACAATTGATATAAACTCAGTTTTGCATTCAGTTTCTATGTGTGGCCATCAGTATCCAGCTTTCTAAACATTCTCATCTGTATTTTGTCTATAACAGTGGTCTGGTAAAATCAGCCTTTAGTTTCAGGTAGTCAAACTTGCTTTCTTATTAAATTGCTGTAGTGATTTAGAAATCTAAACACTTAAGATAGGGCGAAAAATAAACTATGGAACTGATCACAGTTAACAGTGTAGCTGGTTTTAGGATTTAATTTCTACCTGCCTCTTATCTAATTCCCACTTCTGATAACCTATTTTTGTGGTTGTTGAGTTTAGATTTATTGATTAAATTTATTCATCAAAAAATTGCTTTTATTTTCTTGGAGAGTTCAAAGATGAGCATTTGTTCTGCCTAATGGTACAGCATTGCAATAAAATATTTGCTTCCCTATGTCCTTTCCCACCCTACAGAGATGGTTTTGGTAATGTGAAAAATAAAGTGTAGTGCTCAGGGCATGCCCTGCTTTTCCCTAATTACAGGCAGCAGTTTCCTAATTAGAGGTAGCAGTTTTTGGCTTTCAAAGCATTCTTCATTTGACTGTACACATAAATTTATTACAAATAATTGGTGATTAAGATCAACTTTTAGGGGCTGTGATACACAAACACCATCCAAACCTGCAGAAGAGATGCTTCTCCAGTGTCTGGGCTGCATATTCAGACATCTGAGGATGCAGATACTCCAATTAGGGCAGGGAAGGGTTAAGAGGTGTAGTTCTATCCCCTCCCCTGGTTCCTCATTTGGAACAATTTGTGACATCAGCTACACTGCAGTAAGTGTGTCCTGGTTTGATGCATTGTTGCAAACCAGTCCTAGATGGAAAAATACTATATATATATATATGTATGTGTATATATATGTATATATATGTGTGTGTATATGTATGTATGTATATGTGTATATATATGTATATGTAAATGCTTTTGTGACAAGCTTCTAAGGGAGACTGGGCATTGGTCACCAATTGTGTTTTGTTGCAGTTCTTCCCTTAATTCCCTCTTTCAACCATTCCATTTTTTTCTATAAAACATGTCTAGGTGGTTTAGCCACAAGTGAAAAAAGAATTTATTTTGCTTGAACAAAGATAAAATGTTTGCATTTTAGAACCTGTTTCAATGTTTTGACTAGAAAAGGATTTAAGACTTGAAATGTAACTTTATTGAAAACTTTTGATGGAAAGCATGCAGCATTTAAGAGAATGCTAAGACTCTGGTAGCAAGGAGCAGCTGATACACAGAATCAATGAACATGCAGCCAGCTCTTTCCACTTTTTCCATGGCTTCACTGCTGGCAAACTCCTTGACCATATGGTAGAGTGTGGAGTGAAATTCAGACTCTTCTTGCACCTCTTCTGAAAAAGCTTCACTGGTTTCAGTGAGCTTGAGGTGTTGCACTTTCTCACCATCGAACATCAAAAGAGACCAATGGCTGCCTTTGGCAGAACCTGCTGTCAGATGTTCACTCACCTGTTGCAGGAAGAAATGCACTGAGGTGAAGCCTGTGCCACTGTCAGAGCACAAATTCCAATATTTGTGTGTCCCATGCATTTAACCTGAGTGAGACAGCCACTGCAGCTCTCACAGTGGGTGTGCTGCCTTTCCCCAGCCACACCTGGGGGTGTTTGTCTGGCTGGCAGAAGTTTTAACCATGTGTTTTAGTTACAGGTAGAGACAAACCAGCAGAGAGGTTGCTCACTGCCTCCCCTGCAGCAGGGAGCAAAAGAAACCCTACAGGCAGGAACCAAGTCCCAGCTGTTCTTTACAAAGCTGGCAGAGCAGACAGCTGCTTCTCAAGGGGCCTCTGGAGAGCAGGAAGCTCTGTCACCCCAGCTCTGGCCAAAGCCTCCCTTGGTGACTCCTCAGTTCCATGTTCCTTAGCAAGTGTCTTTGCTGCTGAGGTTTGTGTCCCTGAGAGCTCTCAGGGCAGGCTGTGACACTGAACTGGGGCAGGGGCTGAAGCCACCAGGGTGAGGTGATTGTTTCTAACCGGGGATGGGCTCAGTGCTGGCCTGCCCTGGAACTTTGGGACTCCACAAACCTTGAACACGACTTGCTCTGGCCCTGCTTCTCCATTCCACTTGCTGTGAGCAAAAGCAAAAGCAGCTGCCAGCAGAGCCATCTGTTCATAGGCCCTCACTTCTGCCAGGGGACCCTGCAGGGACAACACAAACCAGACAAACACATCTCTGTCCTCTCCTCTCCCTGTGCTCCAGCAGGGCCAGAGCCTGCTTTACTCAGCCCTGCCTCAGCTGGCAGCACAGCAGCTCCCAGGGCAGCAAAGGCTGACCTGAGTGAAAACCAGGGAAAAGCCACCAGGAACCTCTGGCACTCACCTTCCTGGGCACAGGGACATACTTGGGAGAGTGCTCTGCTGGGAAAATGTTCACTCCAGCTCTTTTCAAAGCTGCTCTGAGGGCAACAGGACTCATCCATTTCCCTGTGATGTGGGAAAGCACCTCCTTCTCTTCCACCACTACTGAAGACAACATACACTGATTATCCTGTTGTACAAACCAGTGAAAGCAACTTACTGGTCATGGAAGCTCCTTTCTGGGTTAGACTTCAAATATTGATATTTTTGCTATGCTGGGTATTGCCCACATCATCTGCTACTCTGGGCTGTGACCTTTCATTTACAGATCCTGAAGAAAGCCAGCCTTGTGCAGGAATCAGAAATGACCCTGGTGTACTGATTTATACACCAGTGAACAGATGGATAATCATGAGTACCTTGAACTTTGGGAAGAAACAAGGAGCATGAGGCTGCTAGAACTCCCTGTGTTTCTCTTGGTAGAGCAGGAGGACAGAGGAACTTTTCAGCTCTCTAACAGGGGGAACAGGCTTGAATGCAGCAAGGCAAAACCAGCAGCAAAGCACTGACTGAAACTTTCCAGAGCAAATGCACATTTCTGCTATGTGAAATGTGCTATTTCTCATAGTAAATAACTGAAATTAAATAACCAGTGCAGTGCTTGGAAAGGAAGAGAG